TGACACATAATATTTAAAACTGAAAGGACCACAAATTAGTCCTCATATTGGACTACAGAACCGAAAGGATATTCATAAATTCAAATCCATCATTTGGAGTGTTCGTTAGTGCCTCTGAAAAATTAGAAACAAACTTTAAATATAGACAGTCTGTCCTACAGAAAAAAACTATAAACATGTCTCACTACACCAGAGCCAACATTGAGAAGAAACCATGAGTTGTCATAAAAAAGTAACAAGTTAGTCCTGAACTTCCAAAGGATCAGTAGTTGAAGTTACGGGATTAACCGTGATTAGTAATAAGATGGAAACTATTGCTTCGTACAAACTATTGCTTCATACAAACTTAATATATTTTAAACCGAAAAAAGAAAACCAAACAAACAAGAGTAAACAAAATCAATATCAATGCATCCAAATCCCGCATTGTACATACAAAGTAAACTTTACTCTGTATCATGATATTAGCACAAAATGTAAGCAGTTAAGCCCAATCAAATAGAACAACTTCATAAAATTCAGAAAAAAAATGACTTTTTCAAAAGAAGTTTTACTAGCCAAACCTCTTACAAATTTCAAAATCCTCAATCTTGAGTCTCACAAGAAGACTAGAAGAATATGCCAGTTCACGTAAGCCATTGATGAACATTAACATAGCAAAATAGGCACACATACCCGGATTTCATCAAGAAGGAAAGAATTCCTCATCAAAAATCTTAGCGATGAATAATGTAATGAATAGCAAGTGTAACAGTTAATTTCAAAGAAAAAGACAACTTCCACGTTTTATCATAAATTTCATCATATCTCAATCCACACTAATTACCAAATGCAGAATCATACTTTCATGTTTAACGAAACAAGAGTAAAACACCACAAATAAAAGATGCAAGCCAAGTTAACATAATATATTCGGAATACATAAATGTCCCATCAAATTGGAGGCACGGATACCAAACAAAAGTTCCATGGCGTATTAGCAGAATATAGATTTCACTCACTAAATTTGTATGCAAGCATCCAAGGCATCTCATATGATATTTGGAATACATAAATATTTCTACTATCCTTGGTTGCATAGATTCTGCATTCAACCCAAAGGCGGTTTATACATAAAAGTTACTGCTATCTGTAATTTTAATTCTTTCATCATCATCATCGCACGAATATTTCTTTTAGCAAAAGAGAAAAGGGATAAAACACCTTCGCTTAAGTTTAGAAAAAAAAATAAGAAATCAAAAGTGCCTTTTATCAACCAGCAAGAATATCGAGCAACCAAAGTAACGATTAACGAAAATACCGGGTCGATCCAACGCCGACTCACCGGGGAAAATACCTTTTATCAAAAAAAAATAGAAGTAGAGATTAGAGAACGAACAAAAAAAATCAACTCTAAGCTTAAGACAAAGATTTTCGCGATTTTGAGACAAGTTCTCACCGAAAGAAGCTTTTCGCGATTTTGATAGAAGAAAATGGTTCTCGATCTTGAGAGAAGGAGCAACCGGAGGAGATAGATCGGCTGGGGTCTCGTGCTTCCGTGAGAGGAGAACGGCGTGAGAGGAGAGCGGCGAGCTTTTCACGATCTTGAGCGAAGGAGCAGCCGGAGGAGAAACACCAGCTGCGGTCTCGTGCTTCCGTGAGAGGAGAACGGCGTGAGAGGAGAGCGGCGAGCTTTTCACGATCTTGAGCGAAGGAGCAGCCGGAGGAGAAACACCAGCTGCGGTCTCGTGCTTCCGTGAGAGGAGAACGGCGTGAGAGGAGAGCGGCGAGCTTTTCACGATCTTGAGCGAAGGAGCAGCCGGAGGAGAAACACC